ACACCTGCCAATTGTTGAGTCCTGGGGTCTTTACTGTTTTTATTACCCCAAGTCAAACCTTTTTCTGGAGCATGCCCAGAACCCCTGTTCTCTTTCATTTACCTTCTAAAGCCTGTAAAATTTAGCAAAGAGCCTCTTTAGAGGCGGTCTACGAACTCAGGGTGGATCAAAGACCCAATTACAGTAAAATGACCCTATGTTCAAAATCCCCTTTGGAGCAGATAGGGTATGAGTGTATGAAAGAGCAGAGCTGACTCCGTAGGCACACACACACAATTCCACCTCTTTCCTTTAAACCATAGATTACAGGAACAAGAGGACGGACAAGAAGGCTCATGGGCAAAGGGGTTTGCATTGCAAGACTGAGGAAGTCCCACCCTCCGTGCCCGCGGCGGAGGAAGAGAACTGACTCCCACACCCACACATGCAATGCGTCATGTATGTGCCTGTCCACCCACGTGCACACACACAGATACATACACACGGCTGTTGTGTTTTTATTTTTTAAGCTAAAGAATGGACCTTCATTAATTGATTTATGTTACTGGTTGATTAGTAATTCCTCAGGGAGAAGGGAAGCTTCATGAACCAACCCCTCCTGGCTCCACAGTGGAATGGTGACAGCCTGGTCTGCTGCAGGTGATTACACTTGCTGGGAGTTCAAGAGTACAAAGGCCATGCCATGCTTCCCAGACAACATTCTAGAATGCTCCACACCCCCCATGATGTTCCCCAAGTTTTGGATGGGTTGATACAGATGTACACAGACCTTCTTACCTGTGTTATAGGAGCCATAGGAAGAAAGAATTGGAGGCAGGCATCAGTGGGCCAGGCTTGTCTGTTTCGATCTCAACCCTCAGATAAAGATTTTGAGTTCAAGGCCTGTGATGTCCCCAGTGTTTCAAGCTCCCATATGCCTTTATTTCCTCACCATGGTGGACTAAACCTTTAACTGTGGGCTAGGATAAACCCCCTTCCCACCTTGACTTGCTTTTGTCAGAGTAATTTTATCAGAGAAGCAGGAAAAGAAGCCAATGTAGACCATTGGTGCTGGGAAGTGAGTGGGGCCATCGTGGTGATGAACCTGACCATGTGGTTCTTGGATAACTCCCCACAAATGTGTAAAGGACAGGGGGTGCTTGCGTCCTGTGAGAATTCTGATTGGAAGTTGAGTTCAGCAACCAAGCAGCTAGGATGAGTCATCCTCAGTATCAGCCCCTTGCCCTGCCAGCCCTGTGAGCCTTGTGAGCCCAGGGAATCATCAAATTGGCCATGCATGGAGGTCATGAATGGGCTCCATAACTCCTTTCACCACAGCTGACGTGGCTACAGCCGAACCTGGCTAAAGACTGAGCACCTAACATGGTGCCATTCCCCAGAGTGTCCCTCCAGTGATCTGGTATCAGATTGATTGCATTGGACCACTTACTTCTGGCATGGAAGGGTAACTAACACTTTCTCCTCACTGGAATAGACTTGCCTTTCTTTCTTTTATTTTTTTAAGATTTATTTATTTATTATGTATACAGTATTCTATCTGCATGTATGCCTGCAGACCAGAAGAGGGCACCAGATCTCATTATGAATGGTTGTGAGCCACCATGTGGTTGCTGGGAATTGAACTCAGGACCTCTGGAAGAACAGTCAGTGCTCTTTTTTTTTTTTAATTTTATTTTCCAGTTTAAATTTAGATAAGAAACAAGGTTGTTTCACAAGTCAGTTCCAGGTCCCTCTCCCTTTCCCTCCCCTCCTCCCGTGCCCTCCCCCCAACTCCCCCCCCCCCGTTATCCCCTCATTTCCCCAGGGAGGGTGAGGCCCTCCATGGGGGTGTCCATAGTCTGTCATTTCATATAGGGCAGGGCCTAGACCCTTCCCCAAGAGTTCAGGGTGAGAGTGCACCTCACATTGTTCTATGGGAGTCCAAAGTCCGTGTGTATACTTGGGATGGGTACTGATCTGCTGCCCAAGGCTCAATAGATTCCCTAGGCCTCCTCACTGACACCCAGATTCAGGGGGTCTTGATCAGTCCCATGCTGGATTCCCAGGCTGATGCCTGGGCAGTCAGTGCTCTTAACCTCTGAGCCATCTCTCCAGCCCTAGATTTGCCTTTCTTGCTTTAATACTTCTATGCTAACTACTGTCCATGAACTTACAGAATGCGTTGTCCACTCCCATGCATTGTTTCAGACCAAAGAAATCACTTCAGAGCCAAAGAGGAGCCACAGTGGACCCATGATGATGGAATTCACTGGTCTTGCCACGTACCCCCCCCCCCCCCCCCCCACCATCTTGAAGCAGCTAGCCTGGTAGAAAAATGGAGTGGTCTTTTAAAGACAGAGTTACAGAGTCAAATAGGTAGCACTAGCCTGCAGGGCTGGGGTGGGTTCTCCAGAATGCAGCACATGATTTGAGCCAGCATCGAAGGGTGTTGTACCATTTCCCCCACATCCAGGATTCCCAGGTCTAGAAATCAAGACTGTTGATGTCTCTCACCAGTGGCTTCCCCACTTCCCCTCTCCTAGTCTCATGACCCACCCTGACTTCTGTCGGTTGCACCCACTCCCCCCCCACCCTCCCCACACACCTGCCAATTGTTCAGCCCTGTAGTCTTACTGTTCTAGAGAATCCTGGCTAATGACATCTTAATCCCACAAAGTCTTAAGAATCTGAGCTGGCACAGGACCTCCCCCCGTCCTGCATGGACACACTCAGCGCTCATTTCTCTGGCCTTTTATCTCGGCATTTATCTTGGCATAAGAGTGGAGCTGGAGTCAGGCCACCTGTGTGCTAGCCGGGATGTGTTAAGCAAATTACTTAAACTCTCTGTACCTTGGCTACTGGTTAACAGTGGAAATAATAATTCTGTGTGCTTCGAAGAGCATTTGGGAGGGTTAGTGAGTCATTCATATGTAAATACTTTAGAGTAGTGCCGGGGACACAGAAAGCTTTCCATGTCTAATACTTTCACATCTTAATAACTAAAATAACTAAACAGTAACTTCCTAAAAGGCAGGAACTTCAGTCAAGCACTCAGTTACAAACACATACATGAAAAGGGTCACACACACACACTGGTGGCTTGGATCACTTTAAGTTGTGTAAGCAAAGTCAATATTTTCATAATTTGTGGCTGACTTCAGATACTGCCCTTGCTTTTGCCCTCTCCCAGTATCAGGGCTCTCTCTCTGTCTCTCCTCCCAGTGTATATCAGGGCTCTCTCTCTCTCTCTCTCCCCCCCCCAGTGTGTGCCCGGGTTCCCTTGGCATGTGCACTGAAGTGATTGTGTCCTCTCATTGTATGTGCTAGAACTCTTCATTTCCAGTAATAGAGCAGACTCTAGGGGGAACGATCTGGAGGTAAGCCTCTGACATCATACACTTGAGGGACAGTCTAGAGATGGAGGCTAGGACACGGGCACCCCCAGAGTCTAAGTGGAATGGTGGTCTCACTGCCATGTAGGAATGACCACCACTTGGGCCATTGCTTTGTTCCAAATTTCCTCCTCAGCACCACATAGGCTGGACATGGAGGTACACCTGTAAACCCAGTACTTGGGAGGTGCAGAGGTAGGAGGATCAGAAACTCAAGGTCACCCCCAGCTCCATAGTGAAGCAGGTTTAGGGTACATTAGAAACTGTTCATCCACCAGTGTCTTACCCTCAAAAGCTGTATTTACACCACAATTACAATCTGAGTAGCATTCTTGGGGAAAGAACTATAGAAGCACTCTTGTGGGCTTCCCCTTTCTCTAGACTTAATTAGGTAGCATGGTTTTGAATTGCTCTTTTCCCTGGCAGCCATTAGCAGAGCTTTGGCTAGCTGCCCCTCGTTATCTGCAGGGGACTGCTTGTAGGGTTCCCAAGATCCACCAATGCTCAAGTCTTTTATATAAGATGGCCTAGTAGTGTATGTCATCTATTCACATCATTTGTATGTTTTAAATAATCTATATAGGTTGGAGAGATAGCTATGTGGCTAAGAACACTGGCTGCTCTTTCCAGAGGTCCTGGGTTCAATTCCCAGCAACAACACGATGGCTCACAACCATCTGTAATGAGATCTGGTGCACTCTTCTGACCTGTCTGGATACATGCAGACAGAACTCTGTATACATGATAAACACATTTAAATAATCTATATAGCTCATAATGTCTAATATAATGGAAATAATTATTGCAGTGTGTTCTTAAATTTGTGTTAGCTTTACTGTATTTTTTTTCTGAACTCCTTGACCTTTTAAGCCTCCCAAGTCCTAGGACTATAGGTATATGTCACCATGTCCGGCTTTGTAATCAAATGCTCTCAAGACCTGCAGGCACAGATGGCTGACTATACACACTCTGGTGATTTGTGCAATGTCTGTCTACCATACAAGTGTTTCATTATGGGTAAGGCCTGTCTCTACTTCACTCTCTGCTAGAACTCCATAGACTACCACAAAAAATGGTATATAGTGAGTACCTGAATACTGGCGAAAGTGAACGAACAAGAAGAAATTGATGGGACCCTGGACAACTGCGGGAACTTACCTTGTGTGGGAGTGGGAGAAATGGAAGGAGATACATTTAAAAGAAAAAGACAATCAACACCCTTGATGGCAGGTGGGGAGGAGATAATGCCTGACATGTGACCTGATTCAGAGGACATCAAAGACAACTAGCTTTCAAACCTGAGTCATTCATGGTTAGGTCTGTAGAGAAAAATGCTGGTTTTAGATAGTGGCGGGAGACCATAACTAGACCTCCAAGGAGTCGCGTGCATTGTGTACTGTGGCGTGTACCTATCATCCCAGAATTAGGAGAGAAGAGACAGGAGAATTCCAAGATTGAGGCCAGACTGGGATACACAGTGAGACCCTGTGTTTAAAAACCAACAATAATAACAACAATGAGACAGCTAACAAGAATAGTCGCACACGTGTAGTTTTCAAACACCACTGCTGTTCAGTAGATACACAATAGCATTCCACAGTCATCAAGGCAGGTAAACAGAAGGCAAGATTTCATGTCCTTAGTTTATTAAAGATGACCATGAACTGTTAGGATGTACACGAAATACAGCAGGTGAAAATCCAGTTCAAGACACAAGTTGTACAGAAACAGATGTTTTTATTTAGACTCTTGCATCTTTTCTATTAGTTCAGCCAAGCTCTCAACCCTCAGCAGAGGGAGTTAGTAGGAGCCTCCTAAGTGCAGAGCACTAGGCTTCCTTGTCTCTAGGTGCCTTGGAGCTTGTCTCCACCTCAGGAGCAAATGCTTCCCTTTATACAGAGAGGATGCTTCCCTCCCGCCTCCTCCAGCAAGCTCTCTTCAGTGCATTCAGAATCTCCACAGCAGGGGATTCTCAGATACTGTCAAGTGACAAAGTGCTTTCCCAACATCCCCTCTGTCCCTCTCCCCCCTCCCAAATAAATAAACACATGTATTTGGACGTAATGACAGCACAGAATCGGGGGCACTAAAAGACATGTGATCTAAAGGGACAGGGTGGGGGTGGGGGACATTGAAACTCAGTGCAGTGGCTGAGGCCAGCTTGAGCCTGTGTTGATGGGGGTGTGGGTGGTGGCAGTCTCCTCCAGTGTGGTGACTTAGAGTGAGCAGCTGGAAGTCAGCCACAAACTGGAAGCGGAGTCAGGGTCTGAATCCATGGTCTGACTCAGTGGCACTTGAGTTTGAAGGCGTCATTCCTAAATCTCCTTGAAGGAAGGGGGATTTCTACCCAGCCCTTCAGAGCGGTCTTGGCCTCAGCTTTCTGTCTCACCACCAACTGTCCAATACTAGTCACCTGTCCAATACTGTTGTCAGCTCCCACATGTGAGGCACAGGAACCAAACCATGGGCCAGCTCTGACATGTTCCTCTTCCTCTGCCAGAGCTCAGTGTGGCTGTTATATCAGTCCATTCTGAACCTCTGGGAGATCCCTTGTTCCCTCCAGCTCAGAACCTGCTGGCTTGCACCAACCACGTGCAACTTTGGCTTCTTGGGGCAGTGCTTGGGCCAATTATTTCACTAGCACAGGAAGACAGGTATATGGAAGAAGTCAGTTCTAGAACAAAAGCACTGTGGACATCAGTTCCCAGAACTGCCAGGATCTGAGATGTAACTCCGACTAGTGTTTACAGAGCTACAGCAAGTGTCTGGCTTAGTCTAGGAAACCCCATAAAATGCACATTAAGTGATGGGAGGAGTCTGTTAAAATTAGTAATATGAACAGATGACTTAACATACATTACCGAGGCTGAAGAGTTAAGTGCATAAATGGCATAAAGGCTCCTGTTCCTCTGAACAAACAGAAACATTCACAAACTGTTGAGTTTTCCAATGCTACTAAGTGGGCAGGCTTCTCTCAACTGAGAAAAGAACCTAAGGCAAGAGGTCAGTCAACGGGAGGGCCCCACTCTGCTGGGGAAAGGGGACAGAGAATGGAGTTGGGTCACATAATCACACAGAGCAGTAAGGAACCCACTGTTAAGATGGTGGGTGGGGTTTCTATCCTCACCTTAGGTTGGCACGAGAGACTTGCCTGAGCTTGACGTGCACCTGCACTCAAGCTAGTTAACGGAGAGACCGACACCCAAGAGGCGGCCATTATCCTCTATCTGAATAAACATGCCTCAGGCACCAGCTGCAGCCTCACTTCTGTGTGTGGTGTTGGCCACAAATGGGCCTGGCCTAAGATTCAGGTCTGTTCTTTGCTTCAAGCCCATCAGAGTACACAGGCCAGCTTGTGTCCACTGACGCCTGGTGTACTTGAAACAGGGAAACTGTGTTTGCCTCCTCGAGGTCTCCAAGGATTCCAGGACAGCAATGATTGTGTTCTTACCAGTCCCTCAGTGACCATGTAAGTTGTACAGAATGTCCACCGTGTAGCCCCATTCTCTTCCTGGCCTCAGGGCACAGTCTTGTTCTCTTTCGGGACTGGGACATTCCCCTGTCTCAGCAGCTGGGGAACTAAGTCAAGAGTGGGAATGAGCCGGGCTGCAGCTGCAATCAGATCTGGTCCTAGCAGGACAGGCCAAGCTTGTCAGAAGAACTGGGTCTCGCTCGCTGTCCACTCCCCTGACAAGAGGCACTCCAAGTGGCAGTTCTGATGGAAATACCCAATGCATACAGATACTGTCACAACAGACTGGACCCATCAACCAATAAAGGGTGCCTACACCTGGACAGCAGACAAGTCTCATAAAAAAAAAATGACAATGTATTTTTTTAAAAAGTCCACCACCTTCCTTGAAGGTATGGCTCAGTTCTGTATCGTTTGACCGTAGCCAGCCCCTTATACAAAGAGTTAGGTCCTTTCCTCAGGTGGTCTCCAGGACGGTGGCCTCTAGAGCTAAGGCTTCTGTGGGCTCCTCCTCGTAGTCTGACAGGTAGGACTCCAGGCTCTGCTTGGCCAGCAACTCCCGCCGGGCCTGTAGCCGCTCACACCGGGGACAGCTTCCAGACTTGAAGCAAGCTTTATGGTAACATGCTTTACACTCTAGTCAGGTTGAAAAGAGAGAGAAGAAAACTATTTGTATTATCAGACTAGAAGCAAGTTACCTCAGCCACTTGTCCCCATAGCTCGTGTATGGCGGTGGTGGAGTGTGGAGTTACTCACACCATACTCTGGCTAATAGAGAACTCTCAGGTAATACATTCACTTGGGGTCCAGCCTTCCTTGTTTCAATGCTAGCCTCCGTCCTCACCTTCACAGGTCCGGCATTTATGTAGCTCAAAAGGAAAGATGACATCATCCTCATTCTGGCAGAACTCACAAATGAAGCCCTTGGCTTGGCACAGCTGTGGAGGAGAGTAGGTAGCAAAGTAAGAGACTGGCCCAGAGGGAGGACTCAGTGAGGGGGAGTAAACCATAAACGCCACTTTGAGCAGGGTGAAGAGGTCTACTATCTACAGTGTAGAGCATGAGAGCCAAGCACTATCACACAAACTTAAGGTAAGGATAAGAGAGACACAAGCTTGAGACGCCTTTGCCACTGGAGCAGCTCTCAGCGAAGAGGCTAGGAGAAAGGGCGGTACTGAGAAAAGGGGCCTAAAGTCTGTAATCTAGTCTGGGCAGCGGTGTTATCCTGAAACATTACCACTAGTGATTAAGATTAAAGGTAAAGTCAAGAGTGCTTCACAAAACAATACCCTCACCCAGCACAGGATCACCAAAAAGCATTACTCCTGAATTTCTAGCGTGCTGATCCTATCATGAACACTAGTAAGTTACATGTGTAAATAGGATTTACAAAAATGCTACCAAATAAGCTGTTTCATTAAACCTCAGACTCTCAAGAGGAAAGAGCAGTTCATCTAAGTATTACCTTCATTTCAGAGAGAAGACTGAGGGTTACACAGCAAACTGTTTGGAACGGTGGTTGGAAACAAGCCCAGATTCTGTCAAAGGTCCTCCTGAGTACGGCGATCCTTCAGTGAAGCCGCAACACCAGCACCAACTCCCCTCCTAATTCTTTTTGTATTTTTGTTTTCTTGAGACAGGGTCTTGCTATGTAGCCCAGGCTGACTCTGAACTCACAGTCCCCCTGCCTCAGCGCCCCAGTACTTCCTCCTCTAACTCTGGTCCTTCAGATGATCCTACTGCTCACCCCCTCAGCCAACAGCAAGCCCTGTAGTTTCTCTCTCAGTGCCAACTGGCCATATCAAGTTTCTGGAGCTAAATGTCAAGAATCCTACCCCACTGCTAAGCCCCCAGCACAGGATCAGCTGCAAGGAAGAGCACAGCCTCCTCACCATGCATCTCTCTACATGGGCAGCTCCTGCTCTGGTGAGCTCAGCCAGCCGGGGCCCCAGCTCCCCCTTCTTGGTCGCAGTCAGGTCGTTCAGTGAGTACAGGTGGAGATCCTCTGTCAGGTGGCCTGGAACTACGTCAAAGGAATCCAAAAGCCTACAGGAAATGAGAGGACGTGGGAAGGCCTGGAAATAAACATTTCATATGGCACGTGACAGTGCAAAAATCCTTACTCAGCAGGAGAGAAGCTCGTGGGGGTGGGTGACATTCAGCCAGCCCAGGTACCCTGGCTACCCCAACTTCCCCACACCAGGTACCTAGAGGACAAAAGTGTTTTATTTCCACACCCTGTCGAGTGAGCTTGGGGAGTGGTGTCTGGCCCTGGACAGACAGTTCTCTTGAGAGAGGACGCAGGTCTAATTACTGCCATGACTTCTCATTTACTACTTCAGACATTTCTGCACACCCTTCCTCATGTAAAACAGAGCCAACTGTTGGGACATGTTCCTCTCAGAGACAACAGCGCACCAGAGGACTCTGGCCTCCTTGAGACTTACTCTTTGGCCAGTCGGCAGGTCTTAAACATGTTCTTCATGTGGTACAGCTGAACTCGCAGCAGCTGGAGGCAAGACAGGGGTGGCGGATGGGAGAGAAGGAGCTGTTACAAGGGCCAGCAGGTGCCTTCAAACTTCACAAGCAGTAACCAGAGCAAGACTGCCCTCACACCTCTCCGTCAACAATGTCGACTTCAACAACTCACTTCAAGTGATCTCAAATTCCCACTCCTGTGCTCAGTGCTAGCTACACCTTAGAGCGAGGCTTGAGACTGGCAGGACAGGTGCCCAGACTGTGGAAGTGTAGCTCAGTGGAAGGTGGTAGTACCACGGGTGTCATGCTGGGCTCCAACCCCAGCATTGAACAACAGACCAACACGAATGGTGACTGTGACAAGAAGTGTGGTGACCTAAGGGAACGGCACCAACAGGGACAGGAGCTACGAGAGGAGAATCTGTGCTGTGGCTTGTTGAGGCATCTTACCCGGACTTGATTGAGCAGCTTGACCTTCCTATAGAGGGCGCTGTTGATGTCCTGCACATTGAAGAGAGGATCATTCCAGATCTTAATGAGCAGGTCCTTGGAAAAGTTGCTGATGTAGTACTTGCTGAAGTCCCACTTGCGCAGAATCCGGCTGGGGATGATCATCTGGGCGTTCTCGTGGCAGCACTGACAGAAGTACTTGCCCAGGTACTCACAGTACCGCAGCCGTTTGATATAATCTAGGAAACCCAGATAACCAAAGGGTACATGTAATTTTTGCATCCAGAAGCTGGTGACCCTTCAAAAGGCAGGCAGGGAGGGCCAAGTGGCTTCCAGCCACTCCTCTGTGGATTTTCTAAAGCTGGGAAAAAATCCTGCTTATATAGTGAAGTCTATGGCTCCAGTATCCCATCCTAGAGACCACCAAAGACTCAAAACCTTCCAGAGCTGATGAGATCGGCTCTCTAAGAACCTGGCTGCAAGGAGCCAGTGTCCCCAGGATGTGGTTCTGGGGTACTGTTCCCTGAGGTTAATTCCCCACAACTGCCAACTCCTGCCTAGACCTCCCCTCTTACTCCCCATATCTGCTCTATCACCTCCTCTAGGTCACCCCTGACAGGTATGGGAGAGGACAAAGCTTTACCAGGGTCAGTCCGGATGCCACAGCCTGCACAACGGTAATTCTGCTTTGCCACAGCAATCTTCCTCCTACAGAAGGATGAAGGAGAGGGATTAGCAGGGCACTACATAGAGCACAGATGAATAAGGGGTGAGGTGCAAAAACTCTCATTAAGGATGGAGAGCTGAGAACTCGGCAATTTCCTTTTAGAGTTGGACAAAGCTCATTTCTACTGGGAGAACTAATGCAAAGTGAGGTTCTATCAGGTTAGAATTTACAGGGTTGGGCTATGGCAGTGACTAAGTGATTATCCTCAATATGAACCACATTTCTGTATAAATGCAGGGCATGAGGAATAGTAACCCAGAAAGAACAATGGAAGAGAAAAACATTTATCTTAAAAAGAGAAGAAATCCTAGTAAACCCACAAAGTATGGGGAGAAAGGCAACAGTTTGGAAATGCTGATTTAAAAGACCAGGGTGAAGGGGTGGGGTGGGGTCCAGTTAGGTATGGGAAAAACCGAAGGGCTAAAAGAATTTAAGAACAAAAATAAAATGGAGAATCCTCTTTCTACGCTTTTAAATACACAGAGCTGTGTAGAAAGTACAACCAGAGGTGGAAACAAGAGGTAAGACAATGGTTCTGCTACTGCAAGGAAGATGAACCCTTCTGCCAAAGGCATGGCCACTGGCTACTCACGTCGGGGCTGCATGAACATTAAAAATGATCTGAGGCCGGGGTGGAGCCCACTCCAGGTTGCCACGGACACGGATACGAAGCTTGTAGATGTCCGCATGCTGCCCGTCATCTGGTGAGATGGGCAGTGAGTCGGGGAAAGGCAGGAGCTACAGGAGAAAAGTGCGTGTGATTTGACCTGAACAGTCTAGGGGACACATGTGCTTATCTCTCTGGCCATGACAGAAGCACAGCAATGAAACACATTCATAATTACGACAGGCTGAGTCTTCAAGGAACCCTGATTTAAAAACAAACTAGTAGGTACTAGAAACAAGGACCCTGAGTTCCAAGAAGCAAGTAGAAACATCATTGTAGGGTGCTGGCACCCATTGCTGATGCTGCCCCATCTATGCTTCCCAGGGCCTTTACTGTGCCAGCGTTCCTTAAAAGAGCCAAGAAGAGTTTGAACAATTTGCTTTCACAGTGTTTTAAAATTATCCACAAAACATGAGTTTTTCTCTTGTGGAAGAGGACAGTGAAGGAGCAGCTGCTAGGGAAAACCTAGGCAAGCAAGCATTCACTCATTCACTCACTTGCTCAACACACTTTAACAAATGGTATCCATGGGTAAGGACGAGGCACAGGTTCACTCTGGACTGGGGTCATGTGAGAAAGGAACACAGGATCATAAAGTGCATAGGCTCCTGGCAGGGAAGCGTGGAAGAGCCTACCTTCTGCGGGGCATCGTGCTCTGGAACTAGCCACTCTAGCTCCGAGGCAGCTGGGAGCTGCATGCCCTCGAACTGCTTCAGAAGCCCCATGGCCACTGCCTCAGCGGATGTGGAGTGCAGGAAGCAATGGGAGCTGGGAAGGAGAGAATCAAGGAGGGTTGAGTGCATGATGTCAGGAAGACAGGAGCATCCTTTTAGGACCTGAGACAACACGCCTCAACCTTACAGCGGAGGGGACACTTGCTGCACCCACAGTCGGTTCAGTTTCTTTACCCAATGACAGACACACATGTTGTGAAAAAAATACTGCTGTTCTTAACTGTCCTAAGTCTACATACAAACCCCTATCTCACCTACAAACATTGAGTGGTACTGCAGTTAAGAGTTCTGTATTTTCCTTTCTCCGAGGTTCAGTTTCTTTCATCACAAAGTGGACACTATGCCTGTCTATAAAAGAAGTCAGTAAAATTGCTATTGCACCTCTCAGAGCTGAGGTCTTTCTCCCCTTGAATGGCCACCACCAGGCAGGGCCATCACTCCAACCTTGCCTCTTCTTGAAATGGGATGGCTTTCTCTGCTACCTTTCTCAAGCGCGGGCCACGATCTGAGTTTGTTTGTCCATGTGCCCCAAGGTTATTAAAATGAATGAAATACTCACAAGTTCTGGGAGATGGATGATTTCCCGTTTGAGACTGCACTCCTCCTGATGTCAGCATCTGCATGGAAATCAGTGATAAGGGGAGCAGGAAACGGGAAAGGAGGAGAAGCTTGGGAACCATCATAGGGTGCTGCAGCTAAGCACTAAGGTGGCAGCTAGTAGCTACATTCTATGCAGGGTACGGAGACAGGTGAAGCTCTACACGCTACTTACTCCATCTCCATCCACATCACAACCAGGCTAATTAGTGACATCATGCAGAGCACTGAGGTCAAAGTGGTTACAAATCGAGGGGGAAACAGGGACTCAGACTTGATGTGAAACAGCAAGTGAGAAAAAGAGATCTGCAGGCACACAGGGACACACTACAGGCACAAGTACAATGATGACTAAATCTCCCCTTCGAATGAATCTCAAGCTTTCTTAAATAATATCCTTCCAAAACTGGTGTGGTAGGTAGCTTGTGCCTTAATTCCAGCACTGGAGAGGTGAGGTAGGAGGATACGTTATAGAGAGCACTAAAGGTAAGGGCTCTGTCTGGCTTTTTGTTTGTTTGTTTGTTTGTTTTGGTGTTTACGAGACAGGGTTTCTCTGTATTGTTTTGGAGGCTATCGGTCCAGCCCAGCCTCGAACTCACAGAGATCCACCTGCCTCTGCCTCCCAAGTGCTGGGATTAAAGGCATGCGCCACCACCGCCCGGCTCTGTCTAGCTTTTTTAATGAAAGAATTATCACCCAACACAAAACTTAGATCATAGAGGTTACCCATTAAATGTCTGTGGAATTGGAAGTTTGTGTTTAACTGCTCATCACACCCTGAATGTTAGATGCTTTCTCTATCTTTAAAATAAAGTTTTGTGGGAAAATTTTACTCCTGTCTAGTGGCTCAGGGAGGAAAAGAACTTCTCCATGGCTTGGTAGCCAACTTTCCACAGGACCTGTCAACATAATCATAGCTGTAGAAATCTCATGCATAACTGCAGAAAAATGAGACTTCCCAAAGCACAGTTCTTAAGAGAGGCCTGAGCTCCCAGAGACCTCACTGACCAAATGCTACTGAAGTCATAGTCTAGGAAGCTAGCCAGAGCCTAACCAAGTCACGGAAAGGCTATTCTGACAATCTCATTTCTTACTTCCTTTGGTGCCCATTGAGAGGATCACTTTTCCCTCACCAACCCTGACAATGATCAATCTCCTGTGTCCAAGGCTCTGGCAGAGCACTAGCTTATGTGACATCACTCTAATCTCCTGTGTCCGAGGCTCTCTGCAGAGCACTAGGCTTATGTGACGTCACTCTGCACTTGGCCACCAGTAGCTCGACTGTGCCTCATGCTTTAACTGCACATAGATTCTTTTGTTTGTACAACTGGATTACAAAATGTCTCTGTGAGGAAATAGGATTATGTCTAATTCCCTGGCCTTTACAACATTTAATACCTAGTTCTGGATACAAGTATAACTCCAACAATACTGCTCACAAGCTAATGGCTTCAAAGCTTCACACAGCTTTCATATGCTACTTGTCTGGGGCAGGCTGGAGACAACCCCAGGGCCTGACTGTGATAGGCAAGCAGCCAGGGCCTGACCGTGATTGATAGGCAAGCACCCTAGTACTGAGCTACATCCAAGCCCTGATTTGCTTTAAAAGCTGTCATATTTGAGTCACCCAAAGCCTAGAGAGCCCAAAGCAGTGCTGGTTGCCTAGTCTACTGCCACTAGTGCTGGAGGGATGAGGATGAAAATGTCTGGGCAACAGCAACCAGACTTTCACACAACTGTTTGGTTTGCTCCATTGATTTGGGGATCATAAATACTGCTAGGGTTGAACACAAATCTTGTCTTGTCAGATAGCACTCATGATGTTCTCTATATAAAAGATTTTCAGAGAGTAGTTCCAGAATGAGTGACTGGCTAAAATCAATTAAAATTTTGCAAATTTCATTCTGCTTGGGAATGATATGGAAAAAATGAAAAGAAAATCCTAGACAGACTTCTTTGAATAAGCAACTAACCTATTTTGATACCAGAGGTCCAGGAGGTAATTGATAGCAGTTGCTAAGGAAACCATTATTTCCACAAAGCTACAACCATGCATGCCACATAATGGTGTTTCTGCCTATGGTGGCCAATGTATATGACAGAGGTTCCCTGAGATCACCTTAGGATAGGATCTCAGACACAGTAGCCTTCTCAGTCTGTGTAAGTAAATTCTATGATCTATTATAGTTACACAAAATCACCTAGGGATACAGTTCTCAAAATGTGACTCTGTATTTAAGAAAAGCATTTCATCTTGGCAAATAAGGAAGACCACACTGTCTTAGGTGAGTATCCTACCCCAGAGCAGAGGGTTGAGGCAGCCCAATATCAAAGTGGATATGGCACCCGACACCCATCAGATACCTTGTCTTTACTGTGCCTGTGAAGCATCCTGCTAACTCTAGTTAGTTCAAGCAGATGACCAAGTTAATGTGGGTGGACCACAATGATATAACCACACCAAGGTCTAAGACAGTTAAGGAAAGAATTCTGTAGAGAATGGAAAGAAGCCTGCACCTTCCTAGTGGAGTTTAACATACTTATAAAATGTCTTCTTAACCTTTTGAACAAAAACAAATATATTTTTAAAGCAAATACGATTTTCCAAGAGAATTGCTCATACCTATGCAGGAGATTTTACTGGAAGGAGGACATCACTCCAAAACCAGATTATGTTGAAGGCTGCACTACTCAGCAAATTTGTCAAATATCACTGAGTTGTACACTTGTAGTGGTTGAATTACCAGGGAATTGTTTTCTATTCTTTCACTTCCGGTATCTGTGTGTATTTTCTAGTGAGGCTTGCTCTTAACAACAAGGCTCGTTTTTAATCCCATCAGCTATTTCTGTGACCTTGTTGACTGTTTACCTGGTTAGTTCAAATGTTTGTTCTTGCTTGCTGAGTTGGGCATGTTTGATTCTTACTTGTTCAATAATTCCCTTCAGGGGATTTTGTGTCTGTGACTGTCTTCCTCCTGTGCAGGATCCCTTCACATGGCTTCTATACTGCTGCCTTGGTGGTCATCTGCTGTTTTAGTTTGTGCTTCTCCTTGAAGATTTTCTCTGATAATTGTTTCTTTGTTTCAAGTGTGTGCATGTGTGTAATGCATGTCCACATGTGTATGGATGTCTACATGTGAGGTGTGTGCGCGCACATGTGGAGGTCCCAAGCGGATGTCAGGTGTCTCCCCCAATCACTCTCCACTTTATTTACTGGCTAGAATCTCTTACTAACCCCAGAGCTGGCTAGTGGCAATCTAGTTTCGGCCTACCATTATGCCTCCCTGGCTTTTACATGGGTTTTGAGGATCTAAACTTTTGTCCTGATCTATGAATTTTAAATAACTTCTTTGGATATGGGAATCTTGGTTGCAGCTACTTCCACAGGACTTGGAATAGTTTTAGACTATCTATTGATGATCTGGTGTCATCATCTACCTTTGTAAACAATATGAGTAAGTTTTCTATTCCTCTAGCTTATTTACTTAGGGGACTGTGTGACTCAATCTTGAGTGCCACAGTACGTGGGTGCAGACTGAGAACAACTTACAGGACTTAGTTGTCTCCTTTCATCATATGAGTTCTGGGGCTAAAACTCAGGTTTTCAGGCTTGGCAGTAAGTCCCTTCAGCCAACCAAGTCACTGCACTGGCCTCAAGTGCGCTAAACTTTTAAGGCTCCCAAGACTGGGGACGGAGGATTCTAAGAAAACCAAGGAACAGTGCCTTATGATATGCTCTATGGAGAAGGCAGCTCAAAGCAGAGCAAAGAGAAACTCGTTACTTCATTACATTTCTCTAAATCTTGCTCTAACCTTATATAATTATTTCACATTCCAATGGGTCACAGTATTAGTAGTAATAAACAACTGCACTAGTATTACTAAAAATTCTAACGATGAAACCAAAAGAATTGTGATTGAAATTCAGAGTTTTTGCTTTAAACTTTTTTGAGTAGAAAACTTTTCTTCTCTTTCAGTTAATCATACCAACTATTCCCTGGATGTCAAACATTACAGCAGTAACTCTTAATTATGTATGGAGCTATCTAGAAGAGATTACTTTCTGGGAGTTTGATTTGAAAATTCAAAACTCTAGACAGATTCTTAGCCTCATGCCATTCTGTCCTACTGGTTGTGGGTGTCCCGAACAACAGGTGTAAACTTAAATTTGCCAGCAGAATGTCAGAAGAGGGTATCAAATCTCCTGACGCTGGAGTTATAGACGACTGTGAGGTGCCCAGTATGCACACTGGGAACTGAGCTCCAGTCCTTGGAAGAGCAGCAACCACTCTTAACCTCTGAGTCTTCATCCAGGACTGGAACCTAAATTCTTTTTTTAAGTTTCTTTGACACAGGGTCTCACTATGTAGACCAGCTGGCCTCAAACTCACAAGAATCCACCTCCCAAGTGCTGGAATTTTTTTTCAAATTTGCTTTTGTTATTTTTTAAATTGTGTGTGTGTGTGTGTGTGTGTGTGTGTGTGTGTGTGTGTGTGTGTGTGTGTGTCCCCGAGTGTAAGAGCCCACACAGGCCAGAGGCACTGCAGCCCCTGGAGCTGGGGTTACAGGTGGTTATGAGGCACCTGATAAGGGTTCTAGTAACTGAACCTGGGTCCTCTGGAAGAGAAGTCAGTGTTCTTAACTGCTGAGCCATCTCTCCAGCCCCTGAATTTAAATTCCTAATTTGAGCACTTTGTTTTTAATATAACATTTATTATAAACAATAACAAAAAACACAACTTGCAAATAAACAGGGTATGGTGGCACAGCACTCGAGAAGCAGAGGCAGGTAGATCTCTGTGAGTTCAAGGCCAGCCTGGTCTATAAGGTGAGTTCCAGGGCAGTCAGAACTGTTACACAAAGAAACTCTGTCTCAAAAAAAAATGAAAAACTATGCCTCATGCACGCCTGTAATCCCAGCACTCGGGAGGCAGAGGCAGGCAGATCTCTGTGAGTTCCAGGCCAGCCTGGTCTACAGAGCGAGTTCCAGGTCAGCCTCCAAAACAATACAGAGAAACCCTATCTCTCAAAAACAAAACAAAACAAAAAAACCAAAAACTAAAAGCAAAACACAAAAACCCCCCAAAATTGTAAGTAAAAGCATCAAACACTAAAATTAACCAGATTCAAAGTCTACACAACTTAGAGAATTTCTATAGTTAGTAGACATTCCAAAAGGAAGCTGATAAGCTCCACATTAGATTTTATTCGGTATGAAATATTTTATGCTTTTATCCACCACCAATACCAAAAACAAACAAACAAACAAAAAAACCCAAAAACCAAAAAACCCAAGATAGAAAGAACTGTTTTTCTAGTTTTGACTATTCCTGTCTAAGCTTTGGCCCCCTCAGTCACATGACTACCTGATCTAATCTCACCTCTGTAAGAGGAGACAGCAAGGACTGTTTGAGTCCTATGTAAAATGGCATCTGAATATCTGAGCTGCTCCCGCATTGTCTAGCGTTTCCAGTTAGTTCTCTAGTCCATGCAGTTCTTCTCATGACCTTGACAAGTATCACAAGATCAAACAAGTACAAAAGCTGGTGCAAACATTCACACGCATGCATGTAGAAGCACACCCAGACTTCAGCATGGCTACCTGAGAACATGGAGGCCATTGACACTGAGAGTCCACTCTTGGACATGTGAGTCAGGTTAGAGCCTTCACTACCATCTGTGTAATAATTATAAAGAGGGCCCTTTAGAAAGCTGCTGAGACCGACAGTTCCATACCACACGCCTTAAGGTTTAGACTGTGACTTTTGTGCTCCTTTTAGGAACCCACATACATGGGTAGGCTTGGAAAACACCATTGCTTCCCCAAACCAGCTCAGCCTCAAACACCTCCTGAAAAGCAGCTAAGGGTGATGTTAGGAATATCTGGTCATTTTGACTATTGAGTATGAAGTGGGGCACTACTAGCAGTTCATGTGCCAGAGACGATGGTAAACATCTCAATCCTCAAGTAGCCCCTCACTACAAAAAATGACAGGGCCTAGAGACTGAGAAATCCCATCCTATGGTTGACTCCTTTAAGGGTTTCTATTCTGAACCAACAGGGAATTAGCTGACTACACACCCTTGGGACCCACAACTGAAGCAACGGTTTCCAACAGGAGTGCACTCTGTGAGAATTATGAAAAAACACATACAAACTAAGAGGGGGAAAGGAGTTTTAAACTACTATTCTTGTCATGAAATCAAATACATTAGGAAGAACCAAAAGCGAAGTTCCTTGAGGCCTGTAAAAGTTATGTAAACTCTGAATTTCTGAGTGGGAAAGCTCCCTGGCTACTCAGGAGGGCCCTGAAGACTAAAATAGCCAAAATACCTATTGGTTATCATTTTACAGTGATAATGGAGTGCATGCAGACAATTCAGCTTTATAAGGAAATTGCTCTTAGTTCTACCATGTGAAGAGTTTCTCCATCTCAACTGTTTTGTTTGTCTGTCTCTTTGTTGGGCCCTGGAGAACTCCATGGTTTGCAGTATAAGGCTACTTGAAGCATATCACTCAAGCATGATGTGGCCACTGTCACCTTGGAGTCAGTGCAGCTGATCCCTGGCTAGACTCAACGAGACTCCCAAGATGGAAGCTACTGACATTCCTTCATACAACTGGGATGGAAGACCATCAGACCCTCGCCTGAGAGCTCAGCCACTCATTCCCCAGCTTCGAGTAATGCTTGTGCCAACTGCATGTGATCTCAGGGAGGTGCTAGACTATATAGGAGGTGGGAGATGAGCTGAAGGCGGGACTCCAGCTATGCTGCTCTCAGGAGGCTGTCACTCATGTGGGTATGGTTTCACTATAATAATAACAATAATTATCATTGGTGATGCAGCCTGTAAGTAAACCAATGAACTCCCTGACTCACCAGGTTGGACTTGAGACTGTTTCTTTGGTCTGCTGTCACCTCTGAGGTGACTAGTGATGCAAAAGGAGCATTAGCTTTCTTTACTATAAACCCTTCCCAGATGGTAGCCTCTTCTCTCACTGCACTGATGCTTCTAACATGAGGCTTGGGCTCTGCCTCAAAACTGCTAAGACAGACATTACAGCTCCACTTTGCAAACCTGACTGCTTCTTTTTTGTTTGTTTGTTTCCTTTAATGATTCTTGCCCCCCCCATTACTATAAAACTCCTTTTGGAACAATTTCAATTGTGTTATGTGTGTGGAGCACAGGGGAACATTCTAATTCATGCAGTTTGGCTCAGCCCAAAGAGCTAGAAGGAAGAAAGAGAATAAGGACCCAAGAGAAAGATAAACACATGAGGACTAAAAATCAGGGTGACTTCAACAGCCAATCACCTGCTTCCTTTCAAGGCTCGTGTCTGCACGGATTTTAATGGGGTTCTGTTTTTAGCAAGAGCAGCCATGCCTTACAGTAACTAACAATATTCCACAGTGAGTCACAATGAAGATCTACTTTGGGTGCCTAATATTCCTAATTAAAAGAAACAAGGAATGAATGCTGCCTTGAAACAGACCCGCAGTTCTTACCTTGGATTTCAAACTCGTCAACATCATCAGCAGAGCCAGAGTCCGAGAACTGTGTGGAGTCATGAGAGCTGAACTGGGAGCTGCTGGAGGTGACCCGGAAGCCTGTGACAGTAAAGACCTCATCATCACCCCTCTCCATGCCACAATAAAGAACCTAGACTTCAACAGAGGACAGCGAACAGAACTATGGCTGGGGTTGAAGCTCCAAAGTGGAACTGGTACTCCCTGCTGGTTCATTCTACTTTAGAGAAGTCCATCTGTGACCCCTGGCCTTAGTTCTTTCTTGGAAACTCATTTTGAAAGAACACTATTTCTGATGTAGCAAACATGAGCTCTAGCAGTATTCCTAGTCTAGCACAGGAAAAACAAAAACAAAAACAGAACACCATGGTACTTCCTTCTGACAGCAGAGGAACCCTTAGCTTAGGCATAACACCTCACACAAAAACCAAGATGAAAGCCCACAACCCTGAGCTTTGTGGTGCTGTAAAGAGGCACACATACAGCCAGGCGTTGGTGGCGCACGCCTTTAATCCCAGCACTCGGGAGGCAGAGGCAGGCGGATCTCTGTGAGTTCGAGGCCAGGCTGGACCGACAGCCTCCAAAACAGAGAAACCTGTCTCGTAAAACCAAAAAAAACAAAACAAAAAAAAGAGGCACACATACAGATGGTCACGGGCCTCACTCACTTCCATGCTCAGTCTCCTGGTATGCGGGGAGCAGGTTTTTGGTGCGGATCTGCTGGCGCCGAAGACGGATCTTCTGCTTCAGTTCCTGGATCTCCCTGTCACTGTCTTCCTCCTCTACTTCCTCCTCCTCTAGACACTGGCTCATCATATTGCATTTCATCAGCTCGATGGCTGCAATCAAGGACTCTGAGATGCTGAAGTGAGCGTTCTCCTGGAGGAGGAAGGGCACGGAAGAAGTTGCTTGTTAAGGGACTGGAAGTACTGAACACCTTGCTGAGTGCAATGTGGGGAAGCAGAGCTCCCAATTCATGTGCTTTCCTCAACGGAGACACAGGGGAAATGCACTTGTCTGCTATAAGGAAAGCAGATAGGCAGATGGCCTGTTCTAGAATCTCTCTACTCTTTCAGCTGGCCATGACTGTCTCCTCATCTATTCCATTTTCTATATAAAAAAATGGAAAGAGAATCTCAGCTGGTCATCCCAAGATCTCCTCAGTGCCGACCTTAGTCCCCTGCACTGCCCCATTTCCACTCAACACAACACATGAAAGAAATGTGGTTAAAAAAAAAAGTCACCAAATTGCAGGCACAGGGCGCAATGATGAGAGAGGAACTGTTTGAAACAGCTATGGTTCGCAGACCCCCACAGCAGATGGTAAAGAGCATTAGTTCCTTAAAGATGATAGGCATAAAATGGCACCCGATACTGAAGTGAGTATTTACACACCAAGGAACCTTCACAGATCTGTTGAGTGTCTGGCAGCAAATGATCCATTACAGGTCACTGAGAAAATGCAGCTGACACCACTGGGTAGGGTGGCACGGAGACCTGCTGCATGTGGCCTGACTATCTGAAGCTCTTGCCCAGTGTGTGGATGGAAACACCACTTGCTCTGGAGATGATGAGACACTTTCTGACCTCCTAGAGATTCTAAGAATAAAACAAATTGAACTAAATTTGAAGATAAAACTTGAAGATTTATCAGTTGCTGTTTTCTCTTATGACAGCTTTTAAAAACTACTCAGGCCAGCTATGATGTCCCATACCTGGAATCTGAGCTCCCAGAGGGCAGAGACAGAAGTCTAAGGTTTGAGGACTCTAGCTTGCCTCAACAACAACAACAATATGTTTATAAACTGGATCAAGTCTAAGTGTGTAATATTTTTAAGCCTATTGGACACAGCAGTTCTTTTCAGATATATTGCTGATATATAATTCACTCTTTGCCACTAACTAAGCTGATGAAACCAGGCAATCATGTTTGAAACAAGAGCTAATGAAGGGAGAGAATGTGGTGATATCTTGTTTGTACAAATAAAGCCTGCCTGAAGATCAGGGGCAGATCTAGCCACTAGCTAACCATAGAGGTCTGGAGGTCTATACAGACAGATGGGAAGTGAGATGGCTGGGCAGAGAGAGGAATATAGGTACAGGAACTCGCTGTCTTTTGAGTCTGAGGTTTTCATAGAGTTCAGAGCTCTAGTGTCTGGCTGCTCTATGTCTCTGATCTTCAGCTTTCACCCCCTTATTTCTGACTCTGGGCTTTTATTATTAAGACCTATTAAAACTCATGTTACAAGAGAACATGCCAGGAATTCCAAAAGGTTCTTTTCTCAGAGTCATATACCCATATACATCGTAGTAAGGTAAATATGTCCCAAGATAAGAGACTAGTGTACAGATGTTATTTATACATAGTTGAGTCCAGGAATAAATGTAGAACTTGATTCTAGAAGGAGTATTTATGTGAGGTCACAGGTTCAAAGAACAATAATCACGTGGCTAAAGCTCAATGTTTCTGCACAGCGTAGCACTGGACCAATGACAAGCACAGGCTCCCTGCAGAGTTCCCTAGCAGAGCCCACTGAGCTTTACTGCAGTTCATAGGTACTGCGTGTACTTGGAACCTCATTAAAACAATGGCAGCAGAGACCATCAGGCCACATCCCCCAGTGCACTAGCTCCCCATCTACCCCTTTGATGCCTTACCTTTTCCAGGTCTGCACAGCTGCCAAAGTCTTGCTCGGAGAGGTAACTGATGAGGGACTGTCCTTCTGATGGTCTTCGAAACATGCCTTCCCCTGAGCACAGGTCCTGAGCACCCTCTGTGGGAAATGGAGTGGGTGTAAAATGTCTGAACTGAAATGAAAACCTATACCAGCCACGCTCCTTCAAGAAGTCTTACAATGTTACTACTAAAGGTGCTCTCAAGTGTTCCCAGGTAATGGGGAACAGAAACTGGATAGAAGACATCTGTTTATCTTCTAATGGCATTACTTAGACTCTTAAGAGTCCCAGAGCACCAAACCTCTTGGATGGAGAATGAAAGAATAGAGATCTCAGAGACAGTTCTTTTACAATCTAAAGTTATAGGTATCAGTCTGCCCTTCCTACTCCACTAAAAAGGAAAAGAGGATTAACTCAGTGTTGAGCATTAGGAAAGGACATGAATGCTTCCACCTGCCAGCAGTTCCCATGTGGAACTTGTCTTCTGGGAACAACACGGAGCCTCTGTCAAGGATCTCGCTCATTCAGGCCATGTCACATACAGTACTACAGACACACATGATAGCACCCAGAGCATAAGAGAGGGGGACCCCTAAGTCAGTGAGGACACGAGAAGTGGACTCTTAGTGTTGAAGATGACAGAAGGGCAGGTGAGGGCACACAGTGTCCTCCACAGAGTGAGCAGCAGGCACAAGGAGAGAGCAGAGCAAGACAGTTTCAGCCCTTGCTTTCCTAGTACTCATGAACCATTCTCCATTCACAGGGAGCTGGGGGCACTTGCTGACTGCACTGCTCTGACCAGAGGAGGGGAAGGGGGTCTCTCAAATTCAATGTATCATTGCAAAAGTCTTGTGTCAGTGACCAAACCAGGAAATAAAACGCACATACAGGCAAACAACAGACACATCTCCAACCCTTAAATTCAGTATTTAATTCTCTCATTTCCAAAGCCTTCCCAAACAGGCAAGAGGTGGCACACCAAAGGCAAAGGGTCCAAGAATACAGAACACATGGAGGAGATGAGATGTCAGTGTGTCCAAAGGGAAGAAACAACACCATGGGACAACTCAAAAATGAAAAAAATCAGAAAGGGTTTTAGTTTCCTTTCCTTCCATCTTCTAACCAAATGTTACAAAAGCATTAGCTAATCACTAATTTTTTGTTGGTTTGAAACAGGGTTTCTCTGTGTAACAGCCTGAACGTCCTAGGACTCTCTATGTTGACCAGGCTGGCCTTGAATTCAGAGATCCTCCTGCCTCTGGCTCTCAAGTGCTGGGATTAAAAGCATGTTCTGCTACCACTGTCCAGTTTTAATTACTAATTCTTGACAAACTAGTTAGATTGTAAAATAAAAATAATTAGAATGAACGTTTTCCAATATCTTGACACTATGTTTTAAAACACTATCAGAAAATTTACATTCATAATGAAAATGAAACTCAGAAAAGTGCTTAAAAGCAACATCAAGTCAATTCTGGAGAAGCCAAGGATGGTGGTTTTAAAACCAGAGGATTTAGTCACCAGAGAAAATAAGAGGCTTCCAGAGAAGGCCAATGCTGAGCACGGTGACATATACCTGTAATCCTAGATTTGGAAAATCAGGGGACGAGGATCACAGTGAATTCAAGTCCAGTCTGGTCCACATAGCAAATTTCGTCTCAGAAGCAAAGGGGATAGGAAGGTTGGCAAAGGGGCCCTAAGACAGAAACTCATCTTCAAAAGTAAATAAACAATGTTCAGTACCAGAGTAAGAAATGCAGTGGATGCCTGAGATATGAGCAGCGTGCACTAGAAGAGCAGATGCCTAAGCCATATCCAACTGTTTCCCCAGCAAACAATGACGTGTCAGCTGACACACACACACACACACACACACACACACACACACAGTAACTTTTGTGTTCTTGTGGCCCTGACAGTAGGTTCTGCTCTGTCTACCGAGCTAAGGAAAAGTCAGCAATCACCACGATACCTTGATAAGAAACAATGGAGGAGACAGCATACCACATAATTGTGTTCTTTGACTACATAAGCCACTGGGCTTTGTACTGAGGTCACCAGCTCCTAAGGCTGCCCGATCAACTGACTCAGCACTTCCTTCTACTCACTCAAAATCTGCTTTCTCTCAGGCTTTTGTCCCCTTCAGTCTCTGCAGGAGGTTGTGGTCTCAGTCTCCCGCCCCACCCACTGCTTTACTAACACATACCCACACATTAAGAACTCCATCATTACAGCACTCAGACTGGAACACAAACCTCAGTTTGAAAACCACCATGAGGGAAAAACAAACAACAACAAAAAAGGGTTCAATGATCAGTATGGAATTTACAGGTTCACAAGGGAATGAAGACTGGTGAAGGGAAAAGGAAACAGGGACTCTTGGACAGGCAAAAATCATGCAAGTACATCCATGACCACATACAAGGAATAAAACACATTCTGGTGTTAAGTCAAGGAAAATAAAGTCATCTACAGTGAGTCTTCAGGTAAGGAACATCCTGCCACTGAGCCATCATGAGGCCTTAGATGAACAGCAGGCCTCAGTTTCACCCCTGGGCAAAGTGGAATTGCTTTATCTTGACTCTGGCTTCCAGAAGCTGTTGGAGAATGGGTAGGACATGCAGAAGCATGTTTGGCACAACACGTATCCTGTTGCCGATGGGTCCCAGCACCACGACAGGATCAAAACTAGACAGACTTGATTTGACACCAGACTGGAAAAGGAGGTTTTGAACTAAGCAAAGTGGTCACAGAGGAACAGAAGGAAGAAGAGGTGGGGGACCGGCTCCCAAACCTGCAATGGGATCTTCAACTATAATGGTGATATTCCTGGGGCCTCCTGCAGATCAACACACAGGTACAGAGGAGAATCCGGACAGAACAAACAAGATTAGAGAAAGAAAGAGAGAGAGAAAAACCCAAAACAACCCAGTGACTTTTACCTGGCAGAAATGGTGCCATTAACTCCCAAGTGGGAACACTGGGGCTGCAGGAGGGGTGACTTGGACAAGAAGCTACAAGACCCATGCTCAGACCTTCTGCACAGGTCTTCTCTGGCTCCCTTTTCCCACGCAGGTTACCATGGTTTCTGGAATCCACACAGATTCAAGAATGGAGCCAGGGAGGCTGGGAATGTCGCTCTGTAGAGCTCTTCCCAGCATGAATAAGGCCCTGGGTTCAATCCCTGGGCTACTTTGAAAAATACAGTAGGATGCAGTGAGCAGGGGGTGTTGTACGCTCAGAGGCCAGTGCCCTAGTGGAGAGTAGGCACCAGGACTGCAGCAGATGGGACTGAGGTTCTAACCCCAACACTCTTTCCATGTGGGGAAGTTCATAGAAAGAGGCTTTGGCCTGGAGACTTCCCTCCTAAGGAGTATAAGTCATGCTAAATTCTTGAAGGAAAACAGAGATGAAAGTCTGTTATCCAGGGTTTAGCTGAGGCCTTAAGTTTTCATCTTTCTGGGAATTACACAGAGACAAGGGCAGCTCCAGTTGCCAAAGGAAATCTGTTTTATTTTCTCTCACTAAATACTTTCTATTTTATTTTATGTTTTTGTATCTGGGGTTTTTCTGACCCAGAATAGCTTTGAGCACAAAAATTAGTGTTATACTTGCAGATGATACCCAAGCAAAGCCTAAAGACACCAACTTCCCAGGGAAGAGGGTGGCAATATGACTCAGAAGCAGGAGACTCACCTTCCTCATGTCTAGTTTGTTCCCCACCACCAGCAGGCATTCTGTGAGGGAGGGTACAGGGCGAATGGCCCTTATCTGAGTTAATGACAGCAGTCACCCCATCTACTTGGCCCAGGGTCAAATGACCCATGTATACTCACTTCTATCCCTATTATAACTAGGAAAACCCTATTAGTGTCTGCTTCATCTTACATCCTGACCTAACTTTTAAGGACTCACAACAGAAGGATCACTAACATTACTATCTGTAAACCTGTTGAATACTCTGCTGAAGTCTGAGAGATTCAGTTAAAACATAATCTGTGATGCTCATACTATCCCAATGCTAAGGAACTACAGAAGAATCAGGGAAGCATTTAGTATTTAGCATCATGTAAGGAAAGACACAAAACATATGTGGGCTTCTACAGTAGTGCATGCTAAATGTCTTTCATGATAGAGTAACACATCATCCAGAAACGGTTCTTCCCTCTCTGCCACGTGAAAAGCCCCAGGAGCTCAGGAGCAAGCCCTCCCTCCAGCCCTGAATTTGGGGGGACGACATCCTGCTAACCAGTAGCTGGTGCTCATCATTACCTGTGGCTCCTTTGGAGGCAATGTTGGTATCCGAATGGGAGCGAATATGGCTCTTCTTTGTCCCGCTGGCGACAGAGACTGTCTGCCCTTCTGAGAAGCTGGACCTGCGAAGGACACTGCCTGGCTGACTCTGCCTACCTGCCTCTTGGTCCCCTAAAGAAGAAGCAGCAGAATCTGGTTTCTGAGAACTGCTGGAGGAGAACAAGTGAGAGCCGCTACTCTCGGCGTCGCTGCTGTGGCTCTGACAACTGGCAGTCCGGCCATGGGGGTCTGGGTTGCCGATGGCCAGGTACTCGGGCCCCTCACTGGCATCACTTGGGGAGTCATTTTGGCTGCTGACCCAGGATGCCTCTATGGGGCTAGTAAGAGTACTGGAACTCATCTCATGTGTGGTCAGTGGGGAATCCTGGGCTAGAGCTGGGTCTGGAAGCAGTGGAGCTTGGTCAGTTTGACTCTCTGCTGGTGAGAGGAGGTCTCTGTCTTCTTGAGGTTTCCAGGAAGGGCCAGAAAGTGAAAAGGAAGTGGATCTTCTCTCTAGGATATAAAAAAAAGGGTAAGGGGAAAGAAAGGTAAGTTGGACATCTACAGTACGTATATCGGTCCCCAGGTATGTTACCCAGGATACATGTCACTCAGAAAAGGTAAGTCAATTAAAGCAAAGCAATGATTTAGAGGCAGCTAAGGTGAGGGCATGGACACTTAAGCTGTATAGTGCTTCGGTGCTCTTCAGCATGAAGCCCTCAACTGCAAAATGAGAGGAATAATGAGAATAGCCACCCCACAGGACTGTTTTAAGGATCAAATGAGGTAATACACACAAACTGTAACAAAGCCCAGCATGATACCAGCACTCTAAAGATATTAGCAACTAAAGACCTCATTTGCAGTGCCAACCAACAGCTCAAAAGCCTCTAAGGACATCTCTTTGCTGTTACTTTATTAATGCTGCTGGGTAACTTTCTGTTTTATTTTGTGAGGCAGGGTCACACTGTGTGGCGCTGGATACCCTTGAGCCTGTAACCATCTTCTTGCTTCTATCTTCTGAGTGCTGGGATTACAGCCCTGTGCCACCACATCAAGCAACTGCAGCTGCATATCTTTTTATGATGCCTATTACAAAGACATTTATACCAATTTCTACCAGCATTAGCTTCAACTCCCAGTCTGTGGTCACTCACAAGGCTCTCCACTTTTCAGATGTGAAAATACATATAAGGACTGCCCATTCCCACCCTTACACCTAAGGCCAGCCTGGGCTACCTAGTGAAGCCCATTCCCACCCTTACACCTAAGGCCAGTCTGGGATATCTAGTGAAACTCCTTCAGTAAACAATACAGAACAGAATGAACAAACGAAAGGATGAGAAGCTGAAAACCAAAACCAACCAAACAAGCAGGTTCTGGCCTGTGAGCACTCACGAAAGCCCTCTATTTTCCTGTCCTAAAACAGATGCAGTAATGACACGTTATCTGCCCCATACCTGAGCTGTGGTGGGGCATGGACTGCTGCAGGTTAGAGGAGGACCCGAAGTAGGACTGCTGAGCACAGCTGGCTGGAGTGGTATATGTGGAGCCAGGCAGAGCGGTCAGACTCTGGCTCTTGGTAACCAGCAGTGGACTCTCGTGCTTTCTGGCAAACTAAAACAAAAGAAAACGAGTCAAAGTGAAGCCTAGAGGCCCTCAGAGGAGGGACATTCATTACCAGAGAAATGCTGGTAGGAGCTAGTATTTGACAGTATGCTGGACTATGAGAGCTCCACACAGCGGCCCTCTATCGTAGTATACAACACTGAAACTGTGAAATGCTGCTGCACACTACAGCCTCTGCACTGGATCCTTCTAGGATACTGTTTCCTAGAAGTGCAATAAAGAAATCAAGAATGCGCACGGGAGGCTGGGAAGATGGCACAGGGAGGAAAGTGTACTTGCTCTGCAAGCATAAGGACTGGAATTTATAACCCAATACCACTGTAAAATCCAGGAGAGCATGGCAGCCTGCATGGGAAGCAGACAGAGGATCTCAGGAGCAAGCTGATTAATTGTATTAGCCATCAACACACTCCAGGCTCATCTAGAGGCCATGCCTCCATGTATAAGGTAGACAGCAATAAAGAAAGACACACCCAATACTGAACTCTGCTCTCCACAGGCAGATACACACATATAAGTGCGTGTGCACCTGCATGCACATGTACACGCATGCACATGGAACAGGTATAGAAACATGTATATACACCACACATAAATACATACCAAAAATGATGCATGTGGATCAAAAGTAAGACAGAGTGGTGGTCTAAGCCACTGTGTCACAAGCACCTGATCCAAGCTCTGGGGAGAAGGCAAGTGTGTGTGGGGCTCGGTGACCTTTTCTTTTCTTCTTGACATTTTAGACAGGGCCTTGCTATGTCACTTTGACTGGCCTGGTACTCATGATGTAGCTCAAACTGCCCTGCCCTCTCAAGCTCGTGTCTAAGCCATCTTAAAACTTATTATATAGATCTCCAAGTCTGACCTTCTGCCCCAACCTCCCAAGTGCTGGGATTACAGGTGCTGGGATTTACAACAGTGAGTTACTATGCCTAGTCCTATGCCTATGTCAACTTGGCACAGCTAGAGTTATCCGGGAGGAGGGAATCTCATCTGAGAAAATGCCTCCATCAGGTTGACCTGTAGGATATGTAAATCAAATAAACTGTTGCTTTATTTCAGCAACAGAGAGCAGACTCAGACAACAGTCATGTACTACCATACCCAGCTCTTCCCAATCCTTTTTATCTCCCAGCTGTCTCAGTATGGAAGTCAAGTGCTACTGAGGAGTGAAGGGAAGGGACCCAGGACAGACACGGGTAGTCCTCTGCCCCTTTACCATAGACGCATCAATCTGAGCCAGGAGACGGGGGTTGTTCTGTTCCACTGCTTCCAGGCACTGCAGCATGGCTGTGACGTGGGCGTCACTTAGCAGGAAAGCAGTTTCTAGGAAGAAAAAACGTACCACAGTGATGAAGAAAGAAGCTTAGAGAAAGAGACAGAATAAAAAGGAATTGAGGGAAAGCATGTTACTGTGGAGAGAAAGGATTCAGGGACAAGTATAGGAGAACCTCAGTTGTACAAAGTCTAGCATAGGAAGTTCCAAAATCAGAAAGGCCCAGAATTGGACCTTGGCTCTCTGACTAGACTCTGGCCAAGTCACCTAGGCTCTCTGACTAGAACACAGTTATCCTACTACCCAGCTCTGGGAGCAGCTGTAAAGAGGGCAGTGGAAACTCAATTCATGGTATTTCTTCTCAGTTTGTGGGGATGAGACGGGAACATCTTGTCATGGGTGTTTTTCAAGGAGGGTGTGAGGAAGCCTGGCTATGTGTTTCTGAGTAGTCTACGGCATCAAGTAAATTTTAGGAGACCCTGGTCTAGAAGCAATCTACAGGAGAACAGAGAGATAGAAGATCACAGGAAGTACTCTCGGAGCCCTGAGGAGCTTCTACTTACCTGTGTAGAATTTTCTGATATACTGTCTGTCCCCAAGCAGAGGCCGGAGCTGGGCCGAGAGGCAGTGGCACTGCAGGCTGTGCTGCAGCCAGAGCTCTGCAACAGCACGATCGCTCACATCAGCACTGCTCTGGCCATTCTCATGCAAGTTGATGAACTGGGGAGGCAAAGAGGCAGGAGTCAAAACACATAACCTGGCAGATAAAGCACGGCAGCGAAGGCCTAGTGACCTGAGAACTACACTCAAGACAGGTGAGGGGAGGCTACCCAAGGTTTCTCCTCCAGCTAGCTTCCAGGAGACACAGGAGGACAGTGGAGAGATAAATGGCTTTTCCACTCCACCAGACCTCAGGTGAAGCAAGCCTGCTAAGTTTGGCTCTTTATCTCCAAAGAGGTACCTCTAGGATATTCATAAGAAGGGGCCAAAGGCATTTGACCTCTTGGCTTCTCACAGAGTCCTCTATTCCAGAGCCTCTAGAGAGAAATGTGGTTAAAAAAAATCTTGGCATTTGTATATGTGGATGGGTTGGTCTAGGAAAAAACTGACCAAAAATTCACTAAAATTTTTTTTGTTTTTTGTTTTCAGTATGTATGAGTGGTTTGCCTGGATATATGTTTGTGCAGCACATGGATGAGTGTCTGCAGAGGCTAGAAGAGGGCATCATATCCCTGAGGACTGGAGTTACAGGTGGCTGTGAGTCATCATGTGGGTGATGGTAACTGAACCTGGATCCTCTAGAAGAGCAGCAAGTGTTCTTAACCACCTAGTCAGCTCTCCAGTCTAAAGATTCTCTTAAGAAAGTCATCTGAACGCTGCCTTTTGGTTGTGGCCATAACAGTCTCTCTTCAGGACCACCTCCTCCTCCTTCAGTCTTCTAAGGCAAGGTCTCATAGCCAGGATCAGTACAACAAAACGCATCAACAGCAGTGTCAGGCTGCTCCTCGGAGGAAATGGCCACAGCACCACATGTGAGGTGTGAGAGCACACACCTGTTAATCCCAGTGCACGGGAAGCTAAGGAAGGGTGGCTACACATTCACAGGCAGCCTGGGCTACCTAATGAAACTCTACCTCAGCAGATACAACAGAACAGAATGAGCAGAGGAAAGATGAGAAGGTACAAGAAAACAGCAGGTTCTGGCCTTTTCTCATATACAGTAAGGCCAGTATGAAGCCCTGTGGCTTTGTTCTCTGCATGTTTAGGGGAAAAAGGTACACTTCTTGACCTCATCTTAGCAATAAGTCAACAGCTGGGACACACATGAAACAAGAAAGGCCATACAAAGAAAGAGGGATGATGGATGGATATTTCGGAGTTATTTCACTATTCTAATTTAGATGCATGCATTTCCCTACAATAAAAAATTAATTTTTAGGGAAATTCCTGCCATTTGTCATTAGACCATTTTCACCCATTTTCCAGGAGATGAAAAGGCAACCTAGACTAATGGACTTGTACGTGTTCCAGTGAAGGTTGCAGCTACACCCCAGTAAGCCAGCTCCTTTCACTCTCACCTTCTCAACATGAAGGGCTGAGTGCGGACTGAGCCACCGAATGTCTTTCACAAACGGCCAGTAATCCGCCTGTCGACAACACACCTGCCAAACAAACACCAACATGATGAGCAGATCCTGACTGTTGACAGCAAAAGAGAGAGAAATAAAAGCCAGACATAGTAGTATTAGTGTTTGACAGGTGGAGGCAGAGGGGTAGGAAAGAGGAGGAGGGAAGAAGGGAGAGGGAGAGAAAGTAAGAATAACCTTCCTTCGCTTCAACAATGGCTGCCAGCAGCAAGCAAAGGAATACATACACATTTATTCTGTTAAAATGATTTAAATTGTTCTCGTGTGGATGGGCACATATATATGTGCACGTGTGTACGCATGTTCACAGAAGCCAGAGACCAACATTGGGTGAAGTTCCTAGGGAGCATCTTCCACCTTAGTTTCCAGACAGTCTCTCACTGGAACTCACTCAGCAGGCTACACTGGCTGGCCAGTGAATCCCAAAGAGCCACCTGACTCCTGTCCCACCAGCACTGGATCACAATGAAAACCACCACACTGGCTTCTTAGCACACTTATGTCCTCAAGCTTGTGTGGAAGTACCTCACTCACTGATCCCCAAACTGTTCTGAATAGGTATTAATGCATATGACATAAAAGGTATACAGTGGAAATAATCTGTCTTCTACTCCTTTTCTCTTTACCATTCTTTTTTTTTTTTTTTTTTTTTTTTTTGATTTTTCGAGACAGGGTTTCTCTGTGGCTTTGGAGGCTGTCCTGGAACTCGCTCTGTAGACCAGGCTGGTTTCGAACTCACAGAGATTCGCCTGCCTCTGCCTCCCGAGTACTGGGATTAAAGGCGTGCACCACCAACACCCGGCACCATTCGGTTTTCTATGAGGTAATTCTTAAAACTAGTGCAAAGAGGTGAAAGTGTTTAGTACCTACTGCAAGCAAAATGAAATAAGAAACACTTGGTTTTGCCATGCATGCTGTCTTTTAAAAAGGCTGCATTTAAGAGTCAAAGAAATGTGAAGTCCTTGATAGATTAAATGGTCTTACACTGTAAGAGGCCCGGACACGACAACAAAATGTTTTCTATAATGAAAACCTAATTGTTTTTTTGGACCCCCTGGGGTGGTTTGCATAGGTATGGTCTCCATAAACTCATGTGTTTGAATGCTTGGCCTATAGGGAATAGCCTTACTGGAAGAAGTGTGCCACTGTGGGGGTGGGCTTTGAGGTCTCATATGCTCAAGCTTTGCCCAGTGTAGAGGATAGTTCACTTCCTGTTGCTTATAGATCAGGATGTAGAACTCTCAGCTACCTTCCCAGCACCATGTCTGCCTACACAGAGCCATGCTTCCTTCCATGATGATAATGGACTAAACCTTTGAACTGTAAACCAGCCAAAATGTTTTCCTTTATAAGAGTTGCCATGGTCATGGTGTCTGTTCACAGTAATAGAAACCCTAATTAAGACACCCCCTTCTGAGATTACTGGGCAGGAGTTTGAATTTATATTAAATAGTCTTTCTTTTTTTCAACTATTTATTTTATGTGCATTGCTGTTTTGCCATGGGTGTCAGGTCCCCTGGAACTGGAGTTACAAACATTTGTAAGCTGCCATGTGGGTGCTGGTAATTGAACCTGGGATTTCTGGAAGATCAGCCAAAATTCTTAATTGCTGAGCCATCTCTCTAGCCCTTAAATAATCTTTCAAACATATTACTGGCACAAATATCAAGAGACAAACCAAATAACAGAACAAAATAAACAGAAAGAGACCTTAAAGTACATCAGAACTTAATGTGGGATTCAAAAAGCATTTCAAAAATCAATGGTAAAGGAGGAGACTGTGGATCAGAGGAAGTGTGTTTGTTGGTGTGAGCAAGGCCCTGGGTTCCATTCCCAAGGATGGGGGGAGAGGAGGCCAATGGTAGGAACCACTATAAACAATTATGTGTCTTTTTTGTTTGCTTGGTTTTTTTTTGTTTTGTTTTGTTTTGTTTTGTTTTTTGAGGCAGGGTTTCTCTGTGGCTTTGGAGGCTGTCCTGGAACTAGTTCTTGTAGACCAGGCTGGTCTTGAACTCACAGAGATCCGCCTGCCTCTGCCTCCTGAGTGCTGGGATTAAAGGCTTTCACCACCACTGCCTGGCAACATTAGCTAATTTTATTAACATTTAATCTACCAAAACTGAACTATGAGGACAGAGAAAACCTGAACAGAGAAATGAATGACACTATTTAAATCACTGATAAAACATGTCCCAATATAGCAGAGCTCAGGAACAGATGGCTCCACTGATAAATTACCAAAGCTCTAAAAACTGTGATATCAAAGCCAGACAAAAATGCACAAAAAAATTGTTAATCAAAATCCCCAATGAACACTAATACAAAGATTCTCAGCACAATACTAAGAAGCACAGTAAAAAGACTGTACACCAGTCAACAAGATGGATCAGTGAGTAAAGGTGCTTGCTACCAAGTCTGCCAACTTGATTTGAGCCCCAAAACCAATATGGTAGAAAGAGAGAACCAATTCTCTGAGTGCACACCCCCAATAAATAAATACATGTTAAAAAACTATTTAAAAAGATTATATGATCTACAATGCAACCCTTACACCTAAGGCTCAGGGAACATGATGGAAGGACAGAGGAGGATCAGAAAAAATGTAAGAGCCAGAGGACTATGATGTCTGCCGTGAGACAGTGACTTCTATACTTGATAGGGAAGCTGCACCATGAGGTCTTAACAATATGGTTGCCTAAGCAAGATCTGCACAAGGACATCAGCTGAAATGTCAAAGTGGAGGGGAGGATTTCCTAGGGCCTCGTTCCTAGATGAAGAGCTATAGACAATCAACAGCTACTGAAAGAGAACATATCATTCTTCTCTAGAGGTTTGTATATAAGACACTGACATATTGTAGCCACTATTTTACACTCTGCTCTTCTCATTTAACATATCTTATAATGAATCCCAAAGCATGACTGTAAAATGTTACATTTGTGTGCGTGTGTGTGTGTGTGTGTGTGTGTGTGTGTTGCTCACATTCTTGCCACAGTGTACAAGTAGAGGTCAGAGCATAACTGGTTGGGAGCTGGTTCTCTGCTTCTGCCGTGTTGGTCCCTCAGGCTGTCAGGCTTGGCAGAAAGCACTTTTACTCATTGAGACATCTTGTTGGCCCTTTAGTTGTTGTTTTAAATCATATATACATATTCAATGCACACATTACAAAAACCAGGAGCTGAGCACAGTGCTCATTCCTATAAATGTAGCACAAAGGAGACAGAGACAAGAGGATCTCAAGTTGGAGGTTAACCTATCTACATAACAAGATCTTGTCTCAAAAACACACACACACAAAAAAGCAAAAATGAGGATGTATAGCAAAAAGTTATTTGTTTTTACTTTCGTAACTATACATTCTCTGGATGGAAGCTAGTAAAAGGTAGTAACTTAGGTTATCAGAAGACAATCAAAGAGAGACTTTCCACTATATGGTTTTATACTCAAATGTTTTAGCCAAGTAACCATGTAAAGTGTATTATCTATGCAAAAATTAAACATTTTAAAGTAACTTACCTAGTGATACATATGGTACAATTTTAATACTTTAAAAGACATAATATAAGAGAAAAATAACATTCATCAGAACGTTAAACAGTAGATATTTTTACTTGGTATTAAAATTACGGGTGACATTTATTTTTCTGAGTCTTCTTGGCATATGTCAAAGTTTCAACAAATAAGAATATATTATGCATATTTTAAAAACAGATCTTTTTTCATTATTATTACTTTAAAAATCAGGGCCAGGCAGTGGTGGCCCCTGACCTTAATCTCAGCATTTAGGGGGCAGAGGCAGGTGTATCTTTGTGAGTTTAACACCAGTCTGGTTTACAGAATGAGTTCCAGGACAGCCAGGGCTACACAAAGAAACCGTATCTTGAAAAAAACAACAACAACAACAACAAACAAAATCAGGCTACCTCTGGGCTACAGAGATGGCTCTAAGAGCTCTGGTTGCTCTTGTAGAGGACTTGGGTTTGGTTTCCAGAACCTACTTGGAAGCTCACAACTACCTGTAACTCCAATTCCAGGGCATCCAAGGCCCTCTTCTGGCCTCCATGGGTACCAGGCATATACATGGTGCACATGTATATAACATGTAGATAATATACTTGGACACATTAAAAAGTCTGACTGGGCTTACATTGCTAAGCACAATTTCCTGGAGCTAGGGAAGGGAATCCTACTCAGCTGAGCCAGGTCAGACAGTCTCCTCATTTCTAAGCAGCAGAACAGAGAGAGATGGTATCATCATGCCTTGCCTTACAAAAGGGGTAAAAGGTGTCCCAGATGTGGGCTGACAAAAATAAGAAAATGGTCATGATGGTACAGCCTCCCAGGGGCCTGGAGTGATTGAAACAAAACAGAATTCACACCCACAACACATCCTTATGAAAACAAAGGGGAGATATGACCAACATGAATCATCGTGTCCCTTCCAAGGACACGCACTCAGAATAGCTTCCTGATGACACAGCAGCTGAAACCTTTGAAAGCACTGGGCTTTTTGGAAGAAAACAACAGGGAGAAAATTCCGACACCAACTTTAATTCTTAGACTGTAACAAGGCACAGAGCAGCAACAAAATTGATGTGGAGCTTTTGTTCCTGTTTTTTTCTACTAGAGCCTGTATGTGCTCTGTGCCTCTACGTGCTGTAGTGTGTCTGTGTGTCAAGTGGTTGTCTCTGTTTCAATTTGCTGGCACTAGCTAGTTTTGTAAGTGGTCACACACATTCCTTAGTATTTTTCATTCTGAAGCACAGGCGCTTTCATAGATGCTATCATTTCTGAGAACTCTGACAAGGTATGTTAGTAGCATTTTGCATTTGCAAGCTTGTTCTATTTGAGGATCTCATCAACATTTCTCCTTTTGTGGTACATACAGATGGCGAAACTACCATGCAATCTGATTAGGTTACTATGTGAGGATGCAAAATTAGCAACAGGGCTAAGAAAAGAACTTTTGTTGTCAAGATGAGACCACTTGAACCACTGAATGGCAGCACTGCTAA